TGTCAGTATCTAGCCCTGAAAAACTCAAGGTCTAATCTGAATATTGTTTAGCCTCCATGATAGTCAAAAGGAAGCACTTTTGTGAGTCGACACAAGGTTTGTTTCCCTCAACTGAGAAGCAACAACTGTTTCTTAGCTCTGTAAACCTCCCAAATGTAGGCAAGGCCATTCTCACCTTCCTAGCCCTGAAGAAAATCCCATAAAAAGATAATACAGCTCCCTGGATGTATTATCATTTCTCCTGAGTCTCCTTTCCTAGGGATGTCTGATGACTATCACAGCCAAAGAAGTCCCTGATAAGCATGACTTCAGTCAAGCCATGCTGTCAAGGAGCCAGATTTAGGGCTGTTGCTGGGGAGAAAAGGCCAGTGCAGGGTCTGAACACAGATTGCCCTGCTCTCCTATCGATGCCCCAGATATGCCAAGTTTTTAATCAGATTTCATTATATTTTTTGAGAGAGGCTGAGTGGGATCTCTGTGAAAGGAAACTTGAAGAGACAAACTCCTCCATGGCCACTTCCTGGGTGGATTATACTAATGAGAAAATAATCTGCACCTCTGAACTCAATGAAAGTTTGCTGTTGATTAAATTGAGAGCAGGATGTTAGGAGCAATAAATAGATACTATACACACGCTCTCACCCACACATATCTGCATGGCTTACGATTTAAATCATCCACAATAGAAATGTAAAATATTTAGGGTTTGATCCTGAAAAGTAAACTTTATATGAACGAGCATCTTGTACACACGTGAGTAAAGCTAGTTACTCACAGATGTTTGCAGGAAGAGGCCTTCTATCTTATTTTTGGACCTACTTTGGCACCAAAGTCACCTGAGTTTTTCATTTACTTCAGTGGGAACAGGATCAGGCTCTTCAAGAACACAGAGTTGTAACGGTGACAAAATAATGCCAACAAATAGGTGATTGTTTTGTGATACAAATTAAATAGGGAACAAAAGTAGTCTTCTAAACTTTTCTCATTTGCACTGCCGCTTGGATTTAAGCCAATAAGCCAGCAGGAGAAAAGAAATGGTTATGCACCAGGCCATCAGGAGTTCCATCTCTGAGAGCCTGAAGAGTGACAGAAATAATGAATATAATTAAAACCACATGAAGCCAAGACAAAAATAATTAATATACAACTTGGAAGGCTCCAAGAAGCCTCAGTCATGACAAAGGCTTTATATAATTTTGATATCCAAAAAGCTTTTGGCTTTCAAATAAGATATCAAATGTAATTTAAACCATTTATGTTTGGCGCGTACTAAACTAAAGCTACAACACATAAGTTCCTATTAGAACCTAAACTAGAGCTGCTCAGATTTTGTGTCATTGTAGAGAATTAAATGAAAACCTCTGCCCAGTGGGCAGCTGCAGTCACCAAAGCTAACAAGGTTGCATGAGGAATTGGACTGAAGAATAATACTGAAAAGATTATAATGACTTTATATAAATCAATGGTGAGGCCTTATCTAGAATACTATGCGTAGTACTGGTCACCGAATGTCAAAGAGGATATTGCAGCGCTAGCAGGAATTCAGAGAATAGCAATGAGAATGATCAAGGGCCTGGGGGGAAAAAAACACCTCACCTGTGAAGGGAAATTGAAAACATTGGAATTGTTTACCTGAGAAAATAAATGAAATAAGAGGGAACATGATAAAAATATATCAAATGAATGGAAGGCAGATTAGGAATTTCTGTTCTACCTGTCTCATAAGAGGGACATTCAGTTAAATTAAAGGGACATTCAGTTATATTAAAAGAAGGGAAATTCAAAGCCAATAAAATAAATATTTTTTTCACACAACAAGTGATTAAACTGTGTAAATCACTGCCACAGAATGTTGTTGAGGCCAAGAATTTAACAAGATTCAAATGGGATTAGACACTTATACAGATATCACAAATATCCAGAGTCATAATTAATTGCAACAACATTTTTGGACGGGATATTAAAACTTGAAAAGGGAAGGGAGAAGACCAGAGGAGCTGACCATTGCTCACAGGAGGGGAAGAGGTCAGAGGGAGCAAAGCTGCTTGTCTTTTTCCGTTCCCTCCTTTTCCATCCACTCCTTTGAGAATGGTTTCAGCTCCTGAAGGGAAGGGGCAGAACTCTGCATGCTTCCTGCACCAGCCTTGATTGTCTGCTTTCCCCACTTACCCACCTCCTGGGGAGAGTAGCTAATCAGAAGGGGTTTACCCTCAGATGGTACTAAAAATGTGCTCACCTCAGATTCCTGGTTTGCTTTTCAGAAATTTTATTTCCCGGGTCAATGACCTGTTGGACCCAGCCCACTTTAAGCACACTTCCCATCACCAAACATGCTGACTAGTGTGGCTGAACTGGTGCAGAGAGGTTAATAAGCTGTGCTAGGAGAAGGGCTTATGCAGCTTTCTCCCTCATGGAGGATATGGGGAAACAGGGTCTGAATTATGACTGAATCACTGTTCTACTCCAGGGACAATACAACTCTGGGTATGTCTACACTACGAAATTAGGTCGAATTTATAGAAGTCGGTTTTTTAGAAATTGGTTTTATATATTCTAGTGTGTGTGTCCCCACAGAAAATGCTCTAAGTGCATTAAGTGCATTAACTTGGCGGAGCGCTTCCACAGTACCGAGGCAAGCGTCGACTTCCAGAGCGTTGCACTGTGGGTAGCTATCCCACAGTTCCCGCAGTCTCCGCTGCCCATTGGAATTCTGGGTTGAGATCCCAAAGCCTGATGGGGCTAAAACATTGTCGCGGGTGGTTCTGGGTACATATCGTCAGCCCCCCGTTCCCTCCCTCCCTCCGTGAAAGCAAGGGCAGACAATCATTTCGCGCCTTTTTTCCTGAGTTACCTGTGCAGACGCCATATCATGGCAAGCATGGAGCCCGCTCAGGTAACCGTCACCCTATGTCTCCTGGGTGCTGGCAGACGCGGTACGGCATTGCTACACAGTAGCAGCAACCCCTTGTCTTGTGGCAGCAGACGGTACAGTACGACTGGTAGCCGTCATCGTCATGTCTGAGGTGCTCCTGGTCGCCTCTGTGAGGTCGATCAGGAGCGCCTGGGCAGACATGGGCACAGGGACTAAATTTGGAGTGACTTGACCAGGTCATTCTCTTTAGTCCTGCAGTCAGTCCTATTGAACCGTCTTATGGTGAGCGGGCAGGCGATACGGACTGCTAGCAGTCGTACTGTACCATCTTCTGCCGAGCAGCCATGAGATGTGGATGGCATGCAGTCCTTCTGCACCGTCTGCTGCCAGCCAAAGATGTAAAAGATAGATGGAGTGGATCAAAACAAGAAATAGACCAGATTTGTTTTGTACTCATTTGCTTCCCCCCCACCCCTGTCTAGGGGACTCATTCTTCTAGATCACACTGCAGTCACTTACAGAGAAGGTGCAGCGAGGTAAATCTAGCCATGTATCAATCAGAGGCCAGGCTAACCTTCTTGTTCCAATAAGGACAATAACTTAGGTGCACCATTTCTTATTGGAACCCTCCGTGCAGTCCTGCCTGAAATACTCCTTGATGTACAGGCACACCCTTTGTTGATTTTAGCTCCCTGAAGCCAACCCTGTAAGCCGTGTCGTCAGTCGCCCCTCCCTCCATCAGAGCAACGGCAGACAATCGTTCCGCGCCTTTTTTCTGTGCGGACGCCATACCAAGGCAAGCATGGAGGCCGCTCAGCTCACATTAACCACCACACGCATTATCCAGCAGTATATGCAGCACCAGACGCATTAACCACCACACGCATTATCCAGCAGTATACGCAGCCACCACACGCATTATCCAGCAGTATACCACCACATTATCCAGAATTAACCACCACACGCATTATCCAGCAGTATATGCAGCACCAGACGCATTAACCACCACACGCATTATCCAGCAGTATATGCAGCACCAGAACATGGCAACGCGATACCGGGTGAGGAGGCGACGTCAGCGCGGTCCTGTGAGTGATCTGGACATGGACACAGATTTCTCTGAAAGCATGGGCCCTGACAATGCATGCATCATGGTGCTAATGGGGCAGGTTCATGCTGTGGAACGCCGATTCTGGGCTCGGGAAACAAGCACAGACTGGTGGGACCGCATAGTGTTGCAGGTCTGGGACGATTCCCAGTGGCTACGAAACTTTCGCATGCGTAAGGGCACTTTCATGGAACTTTGTGACTTGCTTTCCCCTGCCCTGAAGCGCATGAATACCAAGATGAGAGCAGCCCTCACAGTTGAGAAGCGAGTGGCGATAGCCCTGTGGAAGCTTGCAACGCCAGACAGCTACCGGTCAGTTGGGAATCAATTTGGAGTGGGCAAATCTACTGTGGGGGCTGCTGTGATGCAAGTAGCCCACGCAATCAAAGATCTGCTGATATCAAGGGTAGTGACCCTGGGAAATGTGCAGGTCATAGTGGATGGCTTTGCTGCAATGGGATTCCCTAACTGTGGTGGGGCTATAGACGGAACCCATATCCCTATCTTGGCACCGGAGCACCAAGCTGCCGAGTACATAAACCGCAAGGGGTACTTTTCGATAGTGCTGCAAGCTCTGGTGGATCACAAGGGACGTTTCACCAACATCAACGTGGGATGGACGGGAAAGGTGCATGATGCTCGCATCTTCAGGAACTCTGGTCTGTTTCAAAAGCTGCAGGAAGGGACTTTATTCCCAGACCAGAAAATAACTGTTGGGGATGTTGAAATGCCTATATGTATCCTTGGGGACCCAGCCTACCCCTTAATGCCATGGCTCATGAAGCCATACACAGGCAGCCTGGACAGTGGTCAGGAGCTGTTCAACTACAGGCTGAGCAAGTGCAGAATGGTGGTAGAATGTGCATTTGGACGTTTAAAGGCGCGCTGGCGCAGTTTACTGACTCGCTTAGACCTCAGCGAAACCAATATTCTCACTGTTATTACTGCTTGCTGTGTGCTCCACAATATCTGTGAGAGTAAGGGGGAGACGTTTATGGCGGGGTGGGAGGTTGGGAGGCAAATCGCCTGGCTGCTGGTTACGCGCAGCCAGACACCAGGGCGGTTAGAAGAGCACAGGAGGGTGCGGTACGCATCAGAGAAGCTTTGAAAAACAGTTTCATGACTGGCCAGGCTACAGTGTGAAAGTTCTGTTTGTTTCTCCTTGATGAACCCCCCCGCCCCTTGGTTCACTCTACTTCCCTGTAAGCTAACCACCCTCCCCTCCTCCCTTTAATCATTGCTTGCAGAGCCAATAAAGTCATTGTTGCTTCACATTCATGCATTCGTTATTCATTCATCACACAAATAGGGGGATGACTACCAAGGTATCCCAGGAGGGGTGGTGGAGGAGGGAAGGAAAATGCCACACAGCACTTTAAGCACAGCACTTTAAAAGTTTACAACTTTAAAAATTATTGAATGACAGCCTTCTTTTTTTTGGGCAATCCTCTGTGGTGGAGTGGCTGGTTGGCCGGAGGCCCCCCCACCGCGTTCTTGGGCGTCTGGGTGTGGAGGCTATGGAACTTGGGGAGGAGGGCGGTTGGTTACAGAGGGGCTGCAGTGGCAGTCTGTGCTCCAGCTGCCTTTGCTGCAGCTCAACCATACACTGGAGCATACTGGTTTGGTCCTGCAGCAGCCTCAGCATTGAATCCTGCCTCCTCTCATCACGCTGCCGCCACATTTGAGCTTCAGCCCTGTCTTCAGCCCGCCACTTACTCTCTTCAGCCCTCCACCTCTCCTCCCGGTCATTTTGTGCTTTCCTGCACTCTGACATTATTTGCCTCCACGCATTCGTCTGTGCTCTGTCAGTGTGGGAGGACAGCATGAGCTCGGAGAACATTTCATCGCGAGTGCGTTTTTTTTTTCTTTCTAAGCTTCACTAGCCTCTGGGAAGGAGAAGATCCTGTGATCATTGAAACACATGCAGCTGGTGGAGAAAAAAAAAAGGGACAGCGGTATTTAAAAAGACACATTTTATAAAACAGTCGCTACACTCTTTCAGGGTAAACCTTGCTGTTAACATTACATACATAGCACATGTGCTTTCGTTACAAGGTCGCATTTTGCCTCCTCCCACCGCGTGAACGGATTTTGGTTGAATGCCAGCAAACATACACTGCAATGCTTTGTTCTACAGTGATTCCCGAGTACGTGTTACTGGCCTGGAGTGGTAAAGTGTCCTACCATGAAGGACGAAATAAGGCTGCCCTCCCCAGAAACCTTTTGCAAAGGCAGAACCGCAAATGCCAGGGCAAAGTAATCCTTTCACATGCTTGCTTTTAAACCATGTATAGCATTTTAAAAGGTACACTCACCAGAGGTCCCTTCTCTGCCTGCTGAGTCCAGGAGGCAGCCTTGGGTGGGTTCGGGGGGTACTGGCTCCAGGTCTAGGGTGAGAAACAGTTCCTGGCTGTCGGGAAAACCGGTTTCTCCGCTTGCTTGTTGTGAGCTATCTACAACCTCCTCATCATCATCTTCTTCGTCCCCAAAACCTACTTCCGTATTGCCTCCATCTCCATTGAAGGAGTCAAACAACACGGCTGGGGTAGTGGTGGCTGAACCCCCTAAAATGGCATGCAGCTCATCATAGAAGCGGCATGTTTGGGGCTCTGACCCAGAGCGGCTGTTCGCCTCTCTGGTTTTCTGGTAGGCTTGCCTCAGCTCCTTCAGTTTCACGCGGCACTGCTTCGGGTCCCTGTTATGGCCTCTGTCCTTCGTGCCCTGGGAGATTTTCAGAAAGGTTTTGGCATTTCGAAAACTGGAACGGAGTTCTGATAGCACGGATTCCTCTCCCCAAACAGCGATCAGATCCCGTACCTCCCGTTCGGTCCATGCTGGAGCTCTTTTGCGATTCTGGGACTCCATCATGGTCACCTGTGCTGATGAGCTCTGCATGGTCACCTGCAGCTTGCCACGCTGGCCAAACAGGAAATGAGATTCAAAAGTTCGCGGTTCTTTTCCTGTCTACCTGGCCAGTGCATCTGAGTTGAGAGTGCTGTCCAGAGCGGTCATAATGGAGCACTCTGGGATAGCTCCCGGAGGCCAATACCATCGAATTGTGTCCACATTACCCCAAATTCGAGCCAGCAATGTCGATTTAAGCGCTAATCCACTTGTCAGGGGTGGAGTAAGGAAATCGATTTTAAGAGCCCTTTAAGTCGAAATAAAGGGCTTCATTGTGTGGACGGGTGCAGGTTTACATCGATTTAACGCTGCTAAATTCGACCTAAAGTCCTAGTGTAGACCAGGGCTCTGTGTAGCTCCTTACTTAGGTTGGATTGCACAGTGCCTGCCAACATGGCCCTATTTGTTGTTAACACAGTATATGGTTGGTCTTCTAAACAAAATATTGTTTCTGGTCCCTGATTGGATTATAAACGTATTCAACAAGGATGAAATTTACTTCTGTACCGAGAGCCAGCACAAAGCCTATGCACCACTTAAGTCCTTAAGGTAAGGTTTAAGGGGGACTTAATTAATACATAGGCCTTGTGCTATCCCCTTGAGAATAATGAATGAGGAAAATGGGTATTTGTGCAGGGCAAAATTAAGCCCCATGCAGAAATCTAGCAAAATACGAGAGTCTGGAGGAGAAAGGCGACGACGCTGAAAGGCAGCTGACCTCCCATTTGGCTCAAGATTGAGATTCATGTGGAGGACTCTTTCCCTATGTTAATTTCAGGAGGATGATCTTGACCAAAAACTGTTGGAGGGGGAATGAAAGGAAATGGAATCATAAATTCTCATTGTGCCGGTACTCACATTTCTCAAGGAAATCACAAAAGCAATTCATTTTTCAAATTAGAATTCATTTATTTTCTCTACCCTTTAATATTAAATAATTTAATATCACAAAATGATTTTCTGAACATGTTCATTTATTAGAAACCACAGGCCAGACTCAGAAAATGGGCAATTATTTGTCAATTTGTTTTTTACATATAACAGTAATGCCATTACTTCCTATTAATAAATAGAAGTGCTATTTATTTATTTATTTGTAAAGCAACATGCTACCCTTCTGGATTAATGTAATGCTAAGGGTCACATGACATGTTATTTTATTAAGTAACATATCATTTCAACCTTAATGGCACCAATCAAAAATCTATTATTATTTGCCTTTGGAATGTTCACTTCATGTGCTATTTATATAAAAGTCTGTCATCTACTAAATCCTGCTACCCTTTCCCTGCGAAAGGGAATGAGGGTACACATGAAGAGTAGCTCAGTGTGCAAAGACTTAAGACCTACTTTCACCCTACAGGCAAAAAAGACCAACCAGTCCTGTCTGTGTCCTGTGCTTAAGTTTACTCTAGGAGCTGGCCCCTCAAAGCCTCTTACCTGAATTGGACATCAGCTGCAAGTTTTAATATTTTAAATGTAATTGTTCCCAGCTCTTGTGATTTTATTGAGAAACTCAGAAAATCTGGTATTTTTTTTCTAATAGGACCCACTCCTAGAATCATGTTGTTAGGTGAGAATCTCAACTTTTATTTAAAAAAAAACTACTGTGAATTTCTAGCCCATTTTGTTGCAGAAAAAATGTGACAGTGTGAGTACCCTGGAGACTCAAAGGCAGAAGGCAATCAAAAAGAGCCCCACATTATTTCAAAAATCTCATGAGTTTTAAGCCAATCCCATGATTATTTGGGGGCTTGATTCAATTTTTGAACATTTGTGGATGGCAATACTGAAATGTACTCCCTTTATCCTTATTATCCCGTACCAACCAAGTCTCCAGGATTCTGTGAGGAAGGTGAAAAGACCCACTGGACGCCTTGCCAATTTTGCCTGAAAAATTCCTTCCTGACCACCAAAGGTGATCAAGTTAGATCCACAGCAAGCATGGAAACACAGCTCTGACAGGCACACCGTCTACAGGGCGGAGTGGGCAGCTCAGCTTTCAGCAGCAAAAATGGCTAGGAGTGGGGTTTCACTAGATCCAACCAATCATCTCCCTCACCTCACCTCTCAAATTGGCCAATGGGTGTCAGGGAGAGGTGAATCTCTGTTCCATTCTCCGAAGGCCCAGCTCCAGCCCCTGCTTATGATACAAATAATTGCCATGTCTTCTGGGCAGTGAGAGAGGAAATGGAGGGGGGGGGCAGAAGTCAGGCCTCAACCCTCTTTCTAACTAGCACCCCTTTTGGTGGCCATTTCCCTTCCAGTCTGAGCAAACATTTCCCCCACCCCACACAAAGATGGGAATAGGCAGTGCATACAAAAAGCAGAGGATGTTGAGACACTAGCAACTTCAGATTATTAGGGCAGTTTTTCAAGAACACCGATGTGGAGGCTAGTTCCATGTTGTGCAGTGTAAACTGTTAATTCAAAGACTTGCTCTGTTATTTTCTATAGTCAAATTATGTTAAATCTACATTGAAGCACATATTTTGACAAAACCTAAGCAGGTATTGCAATGCATGAGTGTAGTTTTCTATCTATTAATATTAAATATGCAGTAAACATCAGAAAATGACTGTCATAGTACAGTGAAAATTTGTATAAAATGGAACAAAATCTCAAAGAAAAACAATGAAAAATTGAATCTTTATTGTATAGTTGCTTCTGTTCAAAATGGACTGAAAGGTAAACTAACCATTTCATACTATTTTGTATATTCCTAATATAAATCATAATGAAAAGCAATTTACTTTAAAGACCTCATCTTCTGTTCTGGAGTGTTTAGTCATTCTTTGTTCTCATACACTGCTAATTTCTTAAATAAAATAGGGTATTCAGGCCTTTATTTGGTTAAATAGCTGTCAGCTATTCTGTACTCAACGAGCAAAATTCAGAAGGCCAATGCAAGGGTTCCGCATCATTCAAGGCCTCCTTTTCTTGCTTAAGACATGGTGCATAGGAGGTAGCAGTTATTGTTAGTAGTAGTGGTATTTGTATTATAGTAATACCTAGAGACCTGCCCCAAAACGGTTAACAGTCTAAAATAATAGAGAAAGAATAGGAGGAGAAACTATGAGGGAAAAGTATCTAGCAGAACCAGGAACCAAACTTTTATCTCCCAAATCCTAGGGCAGTGCCCAGTCCACCAGATTCTCACTGCCATTCATACTTTGATCATTTCACTTCTTGTTTGTCTCTTCAGTAACGAGTAACAACTCTCTCTCTCTCTCTCTCTTTTTTTTTTTTTTTTTTGCATCAGAAGCCTCTTGTTGGCTTTTTTAACAGGGCTGAATTTCACCTATCAAGAATAACATCCATGCACAAAATGTTAAACTGTTACAGTATACAGAAAATGAGCATGTTCTAATACTGTATAACCAGTTCTACTACAGTGTAATAAAAGCAATAGGAGCCAAGAACTTAAGAATGTGACAATATATTTTATTAGCCACTCTTTTCCTTGCTTCTTGCAACATCTTCAAATTACAGAAAAACAACCAAACAGTTTGTTTATGTTAAAAATACAAAAAGAACCCCTGGTGTATCTAATTATTTTATAATAATAATAATACTCTTGTTCCTGTAAACCAGAGATGTTCATTAAAATACAACAATTCAAAAGAAAACAGTAATAAGCATGAGTGACCTACTCATTAGTTCTTCCTCCTAAGGCTAAAATCCTATTCCTGTAGATGTACAACAGCTGAAACACAGAGTGCTTGTGCAAGTGAAGGAAAACAGGTGGTAGAGAGCTTGTTAATAGATTTTTAGCAACCTATGACCCACAAAGTAATGTGCTGAGACTGCTGTAGAGCTCTGGTTCATGGGGCCATCATGGAAGGCTGAAGGTAATTGCTGGGGGCCTTCTGGATGTGTTGCATACATACGTACATTGGCTCCTTCTTGGAGCATGCAGTACACCGCAGCTCCAACAACAGCCATGGGGCTGTAGCAGCAGCTTTGGCTCAAGTGTCCCATGTTCTACCCCCAGGCTGTAAGGACAGGATTTCATATCCCAAAACCTGAGCAGCTTCCAAGCATTTTTACTTTAACTTTGGCCAAGGGGAACCACAATTTTATCCTACATTGTTAATGGAACACACTTAACAGAGTTAATGGTCACAGAAAACAGGTCAACATTGGCCTTTGTCAAAGCAAACAGAAAAGGTCTGTTGACTGATATAGACCACTTTTCAGTCACTGCTACTTCACGTCAACAAAAGTAGGTTTAATTATTGATTTTGAATTATTTAGTTAGGCCTGCACAATAAATTGTGCAGCAAGTATTAAAATCCGTTCTGCCTTGTTCTCTCTCCTCTTGTCCCCTTCCATATTTTCAGTTCAGTGCATTCAGCTTCATATCACACACTGTAATACCATTGTGAATGACTCAGCAACACCTCACACATCACATTACTATTCACAGGAAACTTGAAACATGCATCCATAAAGTGTTGAACGTGTTTAAACCATTTCTGTCCTTGCACATGTAACACAATTCCCACCAAAATCAGTGGGACCCTGCCCCTGCCTGTCTGAGGTATCAGTGTGACTCTAAGAGGTGAAAACTATCTAAATATTCAGCAAAGATGCCATAAATGGCATGTAGCTTCATGGTTAAATTCCTACATAATGTTTGAACAAGCGGATTCACAGCTCCTGCTTATATGTGGTTATAAAACCCAGAACGTTTGTTTTATTTAAAAAAAAATTAAATTCTAGCTGCAATGAAACATCACAAAGAAAGTAAGGATAGTCAAGCTACTAGGGCACTAGCCTTGGACTTAAGAGACTTTGGCTTTGTATGAACTTCCTTTAGGGACCTGATCCAGTAGGTGGAGCACATCTAGCAGATCAGGCTCCTACATGTAACTTAGGTGGTCAAACTCCCATCTTCCCTGGTTTCTGAATCACTTTGGGACTTAGGCAGGAGATCAGTATCCAGACACCTATCGTGAGGCAGCAGGGCACATGTTCAGAGGTAGGTGTCTGGACACCGATAGGCATTTGGGCTTATAGAGTAAGGCTGCAGTGTACATTCCCAGCAGCAAAAACATGGGAACCAAATGAGTTTGGACACCTACAGGGTTAGGCAGCATCCGAGCAGGAGTTTTGTGGATTTCAGCAGTACCTAAAAATGAGAATTAGGCTCAGAAAAATGGAACTT